GCCAACGTCCTCCTCTGCTGCCTGACGCGAATAGAGGAATAGCTTCCCCAACCGACTCGCTATGTGTGTGGTAGTGCGTATAGCTACACGCTCACGTGCTATCGCCGCTGCTGCTACTCTATGTGTTGTATAGATATAGTCATTGGACCACCGACCTCGACCGCCGCCATGTTGCTGAATGATGGAGGCGCTGCAGCCTTTCAGGGGTTGCAACGACGGGTCATGCATTTTTTAAGGCCGTCTGTGAGTCTGACTTTTTTCATTTCTCCCTCTCTCGTTCAATTATTATTATGTGCACAGCTATTTATTTGCAGACAGTTTACTGAGCATAGTTGCTTGATGCTAATGATGGACAAGGATTTAAATTCAAATAAATGATACCAACGACTTTCCATCAAACGGTATAGCTTTATTAACTAGTATGAACAATTGCTTCATCTGTTCTGAGAAACTTCAGGGGAGGTTAGATGGAAAGTCGTTACCATCAATTATTTGAACTTACTGTAAATACTTACAGACATCGACGTTTACACAAAATAAATACGGGATTCCACCCGGTATTGTATTATCGAAGTCAAAACCACAAGTTGCAAGCATATTTTCTCTTTTTCAGCTTTTATTAGGTTCGATATTAATAAAGCTCCACTTTCTAAACTTTGCACTCATTGAATAACCTTCAAGGAAGTATCAAAAATACGACCCTCAAAGAATAAGCTTTATTTTATTGAAGTGTTCAATGTTTCGAAGAAAAAGGAAAGTGCAGAAGAATGTTTAAAAATCAATATTTCAAAGTGATAGTTTGTATTTTACTCAGAAAAATTATTATCGAGAATGCATTTTTTTCCTACTCTTCAGTTTTGGATAAATATAGTCGAGTTTTTTATTTCAATTGAATTCTAAGAATTTTATATCGAGTTAATATTCTTTCAAACTATAGATACGGCACATAGAGTTAAAATCTGTTTCAAAACTGTATACTATTTTATTCAATCAATAGAAGAAAACGGCGGATATATTGCATATAAAAAAGTGATACCTAGCGCACTCATCTTTTTCGTCGTTTTCTCACGTTTATATATTAATCCTCGAATATGGATAAAACAAACAAATTATTTATTCGCCAAATTAAAAATTTCAACATTTTATGTGCATTAAATATTCCATGAACGGATATGAAATATAGCCGACGATATTATTTATTGGTAAATAAATATGTAGTTACATCGATACTTTTGGTTTAAAAATGTTATGAATGAAGTTTTTAAATTTTTATCATCCGAAGTTTTGTCTTAAAAAATCATTAAAAAGTTTGAAAAATACAATAAACAATGTCATACAAGTCCTAAAAATATTACAGTATTCTATAATCGCATCCTTCACAACGTGAATAGCGTATTTTCACGGTTCGTAATTAGTGATATTCGTGATTGTAATTAGTGCATTTAAAAAAATTTTTTTTATATTTTACGTAATTGAATTAAGCCAAAACCACTGTACAATATTTTATCATGATAATCTATTTATTTATATGTTTCATTTCTTAAACTTTCGCATAGAGCAAGATTCAATTAAATTCTCTATCAACTTATCAGTGAGTTTTTATTTTAAGATTAGTATGATTAAATCAATCAATTCGTATTAAATTCATGCCATTTACACTGATATATTTTTTGGAACATTTAATTATCTATGAAAAATTGCAATAATCTTTCACGAATGTACATAATACATATATTATCGATTAACAGTTGATTACGTGACTATTTTTTAGCTAATCAGATGAAAAATAAACTGGTTCTACTTTGTCAGGTTCTCTTTTTATGAGAGGAAATACTCATAAGTTCTATCTTACATACAAAAAAGTCATTAAACCTTCGAATAAATATTAAAAAATAGATAAAGTATATTTAGACAAGAATAACAAATCCGAACAGGCCGTTAAGGATAGATTGAAACTGCGACTTCTGTCGATAAACGATCGGTCAATATTTAAACTGGGAACATTGGCCGGTCCCGCTTCTCTTTTTGCTCTTCCGAGCACGGCACCGTCGTCTCAACGTGTTTGCAGCGCGAGGATCCACGTAAGGGAAATCCATCGCTAGCACAGGTTATTTTCTAAGTGTTGGGGCAAATAGCTTCGTGATATTTGCAGAGGCTCCGGACGGCACCACCCGGACGGTCAAATGATTAATGATCCTTGCCGTCGATCCGTTAATGAGTTAAATTTCAACTTTTAAGTGTTAGCAGAGTTTTTTTTCTTATATAAAATCAGTTTGATAATTAATTTGATTTATTTTTTAATATAATATTTTATTCACAAAGAATCTGCTAAAATATCTAGTTACATTCAACAAGATCATTAAAAATATCAAAATGTAATTTCTTTCTTCATATCCAGCTATTGCATTTCATATCTTTCCTTCCACTAAATATCAGTCCATTTTTTACTACTGCCAAACAGTTTTTATAGGAGGAAATCATTAAAAGGAAAGGTTCACTGGTTATGGAACGAAACCTTTAAAACAATTCATCTATTTGAATATCTCACGTGTGCCAATGTTTTTTTATACTTATTAAACATGGATCTGAATTTGATAGCAACTCATATATCAAACTTATAAAGAATAATGGTATATTACTCAAGCTAAAATAACGAAAAGGATTAACTAATGCTTATAATGATAATGATTTATGCTGCGTTAAAATTGTTCACTATTTTCATCATGTTTCATAATTTTTAAAGTAGAAAAAAGAATATTAAAGAATGATAAATTTATAGTTAAAAAACTTTGTTTTATCAGCTAATTGTCAATAATGTTTACAAAACATCAACAGCAGCCGAAACCTTACAAAAGTGCGTTAGCTATAGCCACAGAAAGGATGCAATCATAGACGGGCTAAGTGGAGAGAGCGAGAGAGGAAAAGAGAGAGTTTGTTGTCGATTGGCTGTCGAAGCAACGCCGGCTTGATCAAAAATTTTAATTTTCATCGTTCGACGCGCTTCAAATTCGTAGGCGCGAGATCAGGCTTCACCCTCTCTCACATACGCACCCTACATATACACATACATACATTGGCGTTAGTTCTAGCGCTAGCACGCGAAAAAATAAATCGCTGGCGTATATATATATAAACGGAGAGAGATGCTGTTGTCAGCTGGAGAGATGGTTGACGCAACGCTCGCTTGGACAGTAGTTACCAGGGCATTCTACGGGAGGAAACAGAAGCTATTGGCTGATAAATGGAGCCGTCCTACGTTGATAGATACCGCGAACCTTACAGCTCTAATTCTTCACCGGACGTCCATTTCGACGTTGCTTTTTTTATTACGTTGCGCTCCAAAGTATGGCTGCTACTGCTGCTCCTGCTCATGCTCTTGCTATTATCGATCTTATTGTGTTTGCTGTCGTTTTTATCTCAAGTACTCAAGAAATCATACGACTTAGTGGTTCGTAGAAATATTTGACGTACGTTTTGAGGTATCCACTTTTTGCTGATGCAATTGATCGATTTACCTGTCGAGTAAAACCAATTTCATTGCAAATTTTTGAATGTTTGGTATGTACGTTGATCTCAATCACTCAAAGATTTATCGACACTAAATAATTCAATTCTCCAAATCTCTTATTTGACAAGTTTTATTATCAATACGAATTGTTAGAAAATACTAATTTTTCAAGAATTTCTTCTATTCTGAATAACGGCCAAAAAGAAAATCACAGCATCGACTCCTTCTCTGCTCCAAAATCTAGCAGCTACGCTTTAATTACGACAAAAGAACATGACATTGTTTTAGACTCAATTGAAGGAGCGACTATAGACTATATTGATGGCCTTGTAATTCTCACGGACCCTAACAACATAAAACTCATATCTAAGATATCAGGCATTAGAGTACGTGTTTACTTCAAAACGACACAAGATTAGTAGTGAATCTGCCTATCAATGAAATCACAGTTAAAAATACGAAATTCAAAATCAGACTTCTCATTGGAAAAAACGAAAGGGTCATCATCTCTAACTTACGTCCCGTCATACCACATGACATTCTACTCCAATGCTTAACAGAAGAGGAGCCAACCTAGTCTCCAGCATCACTCGCATAAGAGCAGGATTAAACAAATCCGAATACTCTCACATTCTGTCATTCAGAAGACAAGTCTACGTCAAAGAAGAGGACGAAAAATTACTTCCATAATCGATTCAACTAAACTAAGGAAACACTACCTATTGGCTTTGTTTTAGCACTAACTCAATAAGCTGCTTTGTATGTAAACAAAGCGGTAACACGGCTAATAAATTTATTATCATAATACAAAACTCTGCATTTATATTTAATTTTCATTAGCAAGATTATTTTAGTAAGCATATAAAATTACGACTCATCAATTTTTTGTTTTCTCGAAGAAAAAGCTTTGCAATGATGGACACGTTCGACTGCCTAAATTTAAAATTTTTTTATGTTTTTGACATCGCTGATTAGGAAAATAATTGTGTTTTTAGAAAATGTCCGAATCTTCACAAAAATGTATGTATATATGTGTGCACACGTATTTGGTTACTTTTTCTTTTTTCGATATCAATCGAGCAAGGAAAGTTAAATTTATGAAACTTCGAAGTCATATTGTCTTTGATTTTGAAACTGATAAAATTTTTGAAATAATTGATCAATTTAAAAAAAAGTATTGAGACTTTTCAATTATGATTTCTCATTTTTCTTTTATTCCCAAAAATTTACTATTCTAAAATAGTTTGGGCAACGGTCATGAAACTTTTTACTTATTTTCTTTATAATAAAATGATATAGCTATCTAAAATTATAAATTGACAAATTTTCTTGTGAAAAGCAAAAATTTTGTGACTACCTAAATTAAATCTTTTATTAGAATATTAAAGTTAGCTAAGTTATTTGAAAATATTTTTTTATAAAAAAAATAAAACACGATTAATTATATCTAAATTTCATTGTTTATTTGATTTCATGTGTGTTTTACAAACTTCGTAAAAGGAATATATTTATTTATAGTAATATTATTATCATTTTAACTAGTAATAAGAGTACTATCCATAGTAAGTTCGATGAATAATTTTGGAAATTAAAGATGACCCCGAGCGTAAGGTGAATTATGATTAGTTTTGACATAGTAAAGACCATGTTCAGCTGATTTTGTTTGCAGTCCCCCCATAAGAAGTGTTAACCCTTTACAAATCCCTTCTTTCATTGATGTCCAATCGTTACACAAATTACCATAGAAACCTTTGGAATTAGGGTCAAGAGATTCTGCAAAGAACTTATAAGATCTTGCGTGGGAACATGTATATGTCGTACAACCAGGCTGACGATGTCCACTGTTTGGGTAGAAATCATAATGCCCCAATTGGTCTTTCAATCCACATTCGTCAATTTCAGAGTGGATAATCTCTACTTGTATAGCATCATCTTTTGAGAGCCTTTCGCCTTGTCTTTTATTGGACATTAAAGGTGCCGCAGGATCTAATCCTATCATTAATTAGCATATAATCACTTAGAATAATTATTATTATTAAAGATATGCCATGTTCTGCAAAAGAAGTTGAATGATTGAAATTAACTTACCTACGATTCGTCCGATCTTGCTGTTTACTTTGTAACTTGCAAGACCAGCTACATGAGCTCCAAGTGAGTGACCAACTATGGTTGTGGTACTCAAATCTACTCCATACCTTTCCAACAATCGAAGCATTCTACTGATATAATCTGCAATTGCGTCTAGCTTTTTCACGACAGCCTCATACGTTGATGGAATAGCATGACCAAGACCCCAATACTGAGCTCGACTCCAGTCAACAACTATTACATTAAAGTCTCCACTTTTCAAGAAAGCTAAGGGTATATTGGAATCATATCATAATATATAAGTATAAATATAACATATTAATATACATTTATATAATATTCAGTTCTTACCATTTCGGATAAGAACACTCGCAGTTTTATTAAAGTTACTTTGAAATCCATGTATGAAAATTTTTGTTAATTTTTTTACATCAAAACCGCTTTGAACTAAAGAAAGTTCATCATTTATGAATATTTGAATAGGATAGGCTTCATTTTTTAAAATCCGCTGTTTGTTATAAAAGAGAAACTTTATATCATTTCCAGAAAGAGAAAAACTTGATATTTGTTCGTCAACTGAGCGATACATCATTCTATAGTTCTAATGAATTCAATAAATTTGATAAATTATTTTTGTTTCCTCATTTAAAAAATATAATAATTACTTATAAACTCACCGAATCGCTAGACCCCCAAGCACATGATGCTTGTCCATCGAAACCAGCTCCATAACCTGATTTGAAAATCAAGCAAGAATACAAGCTAAATGTTATAATTAAAATGTTCATACTCGAATTTTGTTTAATCAACGAAGTAAATGGATTAAGTAATTTTGTTCATTATATGAATTCGCAATCTTGACTGTTTTTATCATTCACTAAGATACGATAAGATAGTATCTCTTTTCTGATTAGCTGTAAGAAGAGTAATAACAGTAACAGTAATAGTCAATGAAATGTGACACCGCTATCGCTAAGCAACTAAATATAGCGGTGACTTCTGAGAATTTAAAAAACCATAACTTTCATCTATATTTAGTTCTGAAATATAATAATTATTTATAAATTCACCGAATCGCTAGATCCCCAAGCACATGATGCTTGCTCATTGAAACCAGCTCCATAACTATTGTAGTAACGATATTAGGGATAGCGAATATTGAATAAGATACAATAAATAATAGATAAGATGGAAAATATCTCGGGAGCGTGTTCGTTAGACAAGCCCCGTAAATAGTATGAACTTGCATACGCTACCAATGTAACAATCGATGTTATTAGAACATGCACGCGCAACAATAACCTGATTTGAAAATCAAGCAAGAATATAAGCTAAATATTATAATTAAAATTTTTATACTCGAATTTTGTTTAATCAACGAAGTAAATGGATTAAGTCATTTTTTTATTATACGAATTCGTAATCTTGACTGTTTTTATCATTCACTAAGATACGATAAGATAGCACCTCTTGTCTGATTAGCTGTAAGAAAAGTAATAACAGTCACAGTCAATGAAGTGTGACACCACCATTGCTAAGCAACTAAATATAGCATGAATTATAAGGATTTAAAAAAACCACAACTTTCGTCAATATTTAGTTCCGAAGCTATTTGCTTCAGTAAACGCGCAATTTAAAAATAATCTCAAATTGATTAACAATGGTGTTAATATAATTATAATAGCTTCATTGTATAGAGAAAAAGTTTTAATGTAAATTCTATCAAATATATTTATGATAAAATATTCTTAATTTTTCTATTTCCAAAAATATGCGATATCTAAATAATTCTTCCACGGTAATTTTCTACTTCTTAAGGAGGTTACTTAGTGCGAGTACAACTCATAAAAATAGATTATTAGTAAAGACGTTATGTTGATAATATACGGTATATTATAAAGTTTAAACCATTTATTCGTTGAAAATGAATAAATAATTGTGCTTCAACGAGAAAGTAAATTATTTTTTTACATATATCACATAGATTCCAAGGTATGCCCGGAGCACCGCTAGGTATTTTATGTCAATGCCTCATACCACAATAAGAAGTTTATAATAACATGATTGAAATCATTTCGTAATTAGATAAAGTGAATAAAGTATAATTAATCATATTATTACTCTCAATCATATTAAATCTTGCGAAATTATAGAGCAAAGAAATAAGAGATTGACATCCAAATACTATATATAAAAACTCTTTCCACTCAATTTATTTTTGACAACGTTTCGCTGATTTGTCTTCCAGCCTCATCAGGTCCTTTATTCAAAGTTCGACTTAAATTATATGTAGTCCTCGCTCTCATACTTTTTACGCATAGTGTAGTATCTTTTTCTTATCCTTTCCTGCCCACTGTAAGAGGAAACTCTTGTAGAATTTTACTCAAAATCATATCTGTTATCTCCATCCGACACTCACTTTACTAATTTTAGAATGATGATGTAGGCTAAAAAGAAAATTGATTATTCTGATCAATGAAAATCGAAGGAGAGATGATAACGAAGTATTATCTGAGCGGAAGATAATATACGAAAGCGCAGACTACATATAATTTAAATCGAACTTCACGTGCGTCCTCTCATACATTTGACATGGTGTAAATGTTTGAAGTAACTACAGTAATTTGAAAAATGATTTATGATGAAGAAATATATTACATTTTAACTGGTTATAGCATTTGCGAATTCATAACCATTTAAGACAATACATCTATTATACATTTTTACGAATGTCAACGTTTTGACCAACTGGCCAATAATCTTATTATATTAAAATTATTATTATTATTACAGCATAGTTGAGTGAGCATAGAAGATTGATACATTAATGCCGCTTTCATTTACTATAATCTTCTTGTTGATATGAAATGTTGAGTGCAATTACCTTTAAGATTTTTTGTTCTTTTTACATATTCACGCTTTGTTTTATTTAAAGTACTTTAGTATATATAGTAGTTACTGAATCTTCTTTATCGTAAAAATAAAATTGTAGATTTACAAAAAATATGTCGATATGTATTTGAAGTTTCCTGAAAATATGATCATTGCTTTTCTGCCAAACAAAATTAGAAAGGTTGAAAAAACATGATGTTTTACATATTCTCATAAGAATACATATTAAAATTAATTATTATTTCTTCTGTTATCAGTTACATAGGCCACTCAAAATATTTATGAGTGTTTTGAGACATAATAGTATAACGTTGGTTTAAATTTGAACAAAATCTGTTGATTTAGGTAGGGTATTTCCTTAAATACTTCTGCATCATACATATGTATGACATGGCCTCATTTAGTATTTAAGACTTAATTAATGATTTACAATGCAGATAATTCTGATGAATTAACTCTTGATCTTCATATAAATATTGAAAATGAATAAATATTTTTAATTTATGATAATTGATTGAATATTTGTAAATTAATCTCAAAGATAAACTTTTGCAAATGGTTATTTCAGATTGACCGGTGGTTTCAAGATGCTATGTATAGTATCTGGATAAGAAGAATTTCGCGTTATTCACCTATTAAAGCAATTTCCCTTGCAATCTTGTTTATCTTTTGCAATACTTTATAAGTCACAGTGTCTTGTGTGAAAACTTACATTAGTATGTTGCTATTGATTCTATATAATGACTGTTACTTCTATCATGTGAATACGAATTTTTATTGTAATCTGATTTTTTACTTCTTCCATTTATGTAGAAATCATGATGGCTAACTGCTTCTTTCTTATTTAAAAAATTAAGTTCTGCTAGATCAGTGTCTATAAAATTTGAAAAATGATTTGTATTACTGTGGTAACGGTGTAAGACATAGAAAATGTAAATTTTTTTATTTATCGACAATGTGATTGATTGAAGGTTTACTATTGTAGTCGACTATGCCATAATGTGAGTACCAAATAAATTAAGGACATGTGTCATTAAAGTAGCATTCCCTACCTGCTTAATTAAAAAGGTCATAATTTCTAATAAATGTAATGCAGAAGGCTTCGTCTTCTTGACTGCGTTAAAATAATTAATCGACTGATATTTATTCTAATTATCCATAATGATTACATTGAATTGTTAATTTGATAAAAATTATGAAATAAAATCATAAAATGAAACACTATACTTTTCAAAAAGTCATTCATTATATTAATTTAATTCTAAATGTTTCAGAAATATATTTTTCATTGGATACGTACAAGTATTATCATAACCCCTCTTTCATTAAACTTATGAGTGTAGTGATACGTCAACTTTCATTAAAATTATGAGTATAGTGTCGATAAATTTGATTCAAAGCTACTTTCTTCTAAACTTAGTTCATCTTCAAAAGTAATTTCTTTGTTGTTTGAATGCATTTGTGTATAAAATTCGAATTCAATTTTGGATTCAACAGGACATCATCTATTCCATTAATAACTTAATTTAATTTCCTTTCGAGATTAGAAAAGCACAATAACATGATTTTTCACCAAACAAAGTGGATAATTATTATTTTATAAAATTAATTTATACAAGATAAATGTCATACCTACTTCAACATACATGACAAAATAAAATATAATTCTTATAGCAGCCAAATAATATTTGATAAACTGAAATAGCAGTGATGAAAAAATACATATTGAAATTAAGAGTATCAGATAATGATCAGTAACTGAATATAAAATGAAATCTGTTTATATAAGAGAAAGTATCAAATGAAACTCATGTAGTTTAACGATTCAATATTATAATTAGATATGTTCGAGCCTATCCGCATGACTTAGTTTATTACAGGGTGATCATCTTAATCTCATACTAATATTTAATATATGAAGACGTTATTACTTATATTAAAAATAAACGAAAATGCCAAGCACGAATAATTTTTTACTTTTTCTTCGTATTAACCACATATTTATTCGATTTCCATATTAAATATTATTAATCGATGCTAGGACGATAATGTAAGACTAATCATGTAGTATGGGTAGACGGAGAGTATTGAGATAGTAATATTTTTATTATTATTACTATTGATTAAGACAGTGTGAATTCACGGTATTGGCAAGTACTTACAAGAATCTAATACGGGCTTTTTGTGATTACTCGCAAATATCGTACATTGATCGCATTCTCCGAAGAATATGATTATTTATACGGTTTTCAGATGATATTGTATTTAATATATGTTGCTGCATGTCAAACATCATAGTATTTAAGTGGTCTAATTCTATCGTAATAATATTGATTACGGTATTTCTAAGATATATTCTTGATAATGTATATTTTAATATTCAAGTTCTGTGACTGTCAATACTTAATTAAAAAATTGTAAAAATATTCTAATCATAGATCGAAAAAAGGTGAAAAATAAAATAAATTAATGGCTAGTCTATTAATCCTTTTTTTATATAAATAAAACTGAATATTACAACAGTTTCGACCGTTTTGAGAATTGATTCTCTGGTCCTCTGATTCAGGCAAACACTGGCAAGGCCTACCGAACAAGATAAGTCAGATATATACTGAAAAATAAGATTAGTAGAATAACCATTAATTTTTTTATTTTTTACCTTTTTCTAATTAAAAAATTCAAATACTAAGGCTAACGTATAATCTATTCAAATTAAAAGAAAATTTATTCGATTATGTTCGTACATTTCATAAATAGACACTTTATAAAAACGACGGAGTATTAATATTGCCAGGTACACTCGTAAAATTATTTACGAATATTACGTTACACTGATACGAATCGTAAAATAAAATATTATCATTATTTCATTCCTAAAGCATACGGCGATGATTTGTTAGTTTTTAAATAATAAATTCCAAAAGGTGACTGTTTCTTCTTGCTATGGCCACCCATAATCACAATGTCACCGTCACAAACTCCACTCTCAACTGATTCTAAACTATTGCATTTTCGACCGTAAAAGCCGGTCTCACTGTAAATGGACTCAGCGTAGTATTCGTAGGCGCGCGAATGCGAACACACGTTGGTACCACAGCCAAGTTGTTTCGAGCCGCCATTCGGGTAAAAGTCGTAATGACCTATTTCATTTGGTACACCGCAATTACCGCTGTTTGTGTGTATCACCTCGACTATTTCTGCATCTTCCACTGACAAACATTCACCTGGCCCTTTATTTTCAAATGCCGGAAATGCTGGATCCAATCCTGTAATTTTTTAAAATTATTATTAGCTTTACTGGATTCGAACGAACATTCACGGAAAATATTTTGAGTTTTAGTGTAGATCATGCCTACCTACGATGTAATTGACTTTGCTATTGGCGTTATGACCTGCAACTCCCATTACATGAGCGCCCAGGGAATGTCCAATCAAAGTGGTGGTTTCTAGGTTCATTCCCTGATTTTCGAGGAAATTGATCATTGTTGCCACGTAACTACCAACTTGTCCGACAAAACCAGCTACCGTCCAATAATCCAGTGGAATTGTGCCCCAAATTGATTGCATTTTCCACCAGTCAACAACAATTATATTATAATCTCTACTTTTTAAAAATGCTGTAAAATAAAACGCACTAAATGGTAGTTCATTCAAGAAGTTTTGCAACTTACATCGTATTTACCATCTTTTAGAAGTGTACATGACGCTTCATTTCTAGAGCCGAGATACCCATGAGTAACAATTTTAGTCGAGCGACTCTTATTAAAAGAACTCTTCTGTATACTTGAAGAATTTCCGAATACTATTTCATATTCTTTGGGTTTTTCTTTTGTATACAAATAGAAGAAGACATGGTCATTAGCTGTTCTCATACTATTTGGATTAAAAAGTTTATAAAGCTTAGTAGCTACATCGTCACTTTTTCGAGAATGCGATTTCTGAAAGAAATAAGATAATCAAGATTAGATAATTGGCTTTCATAATAAATGCAAAACTCACAATGTCAATAGCACATGAATATGCAGAACGGGTTTCATGGCTCGTTGCCAGTGCTGTGCCTTGCAGAACAACTAAACAAATAAGGTACGCAGGAAATGTCATACTGATAGGTTAAGTAAAATACAATCCGTACCGACAAGAGTTACATTTATACTTTAACTATTGATACTTTTATCAATATGTCTGTCAGATAAGATTACTTCTACATGGTTCCACCAGTAATTGATTGAAAGCCCATTAAGAAATACCAATTTCTCATCAATACATCATTCTTACGATGAGGCATTGTCAATAAACATAATACCACACAGAGCAGTGGAAAAAACAGGAAACAACGATTTATATAATGATTTTATTGAATTAAATAAAAATAAAGAATGCAATGGTTACGCTGTGTGTATGTAACAAAAACTTTGCTATGTGCGTAGTGTAGAACTCTCGTCACATTCCTATCGAGAGTAGTGGCCGTAACTTGGGTGCTGACGTGCGCGAGCTTATCAAAACAGTAACCGTACAAACCCATGTGTGTACTCACGAAGTAATAACCAGTGAGCGATCGCAATTGATCGACGTCTACTATCTCACCGATGTCTCTCTCTCTCTCTCTCTCTCTCTCTCTCTCTCTCTCTCTCTCTCTCGTAATTACGTTTTCTGATGAATCTAGCCCTAGCAGCAGTCTATACTTATACATATACGCCTATAGCATATACACATATACATGTATATATACACGCACACATACAATACACGTAAATACGCACGCACGCACACGGGTTCCCCCTACTTGCTCCCCTCTTACCCTATATTTTAATATTATAGAGTTCAGTTTGAAATGACCCAAAACAGTGGTGACGCTTTTGGCAGTAAAAAAATAACTTAATGAAATTAATCGTAATATTTAAACTGATACAAACAAAAAGCAATTGCACGATATTATTTCCACACCACCATTAAGGTAAAGATACTTTTAAACTTATAATTGTAATACCACAATACACTTGCTTATTAATATCAATAATATCATTTGGTTTGCAGAATAACAGCATATAAAATTAAATAACTGAAGAAGAAATCACCAAATCAATGAACTGAAGAAAAAAATCATATTGGACCGAACACAATAATAAATATACCAATAATATTCCAAAAAATTTTATATACATAAAAAATAGGAGCAATCAGGGAGACAAAAACGCGGCATGACTAATGAGTCAAAAAATTTTTATCCTTATGTATGTAGCCATATATATACACGTGCGTGTGTACAATTCGCGTCAGTCATTAAAAGCGTGTCAAAAGAAAATGTTGGTGATTTATCAATATTTACGTATGCAGGCAAGTTTATTAACTGGTTCATTGACTTTCATCGTGTGGTATAACCGGTAAATTCGCACTGTACGCGAGCTCTCTCTCTTGTTCTCTGATGTTTGGTAATTTTGCGGAAATCAATGTAACAAATGATTATAACGTATTATTCAATAAGCACAATTAATTCGTAATTAAATCACGCGAATTGGCAATTTCATAACGATTGTTTGTCATATATTTGTTTAGTGTGCTTACTGTGGATTGTACGAATGTACATCACATGCACACTCGTAAAACTTCGATATATGTAGAGCGAATCAACAAGCCATAAAAATATATATGTGGTCGATTAAAAAGTGAATTTTTCGCGTTTGACGCTTTTTGTTCCTCCTTTGCCACGATCAGCAACATTTATCAATTAAGCTACACTTGACCTGTTATTGTCGTGGAAGTTTGAAAAGATAAAATTAATAGAAATGCTTGGTTCGAGCATTGGTGATAAAAGTGTAATACTTTTATTAGTGTCGAAAAATCGAGAAGCTATACATACATGTTTGTTCGGAATGAAAAAATGACGCGATCAAGAGGGCAATCGGCCAAGCAAGCGAAGACGCAACAAGAGAAAAAAAGCAGCGTGCTTTTTTGCACGCGACATTAGCCGATCGGAAAAGCAGGCAATTATCGAATTGTAATCGACCGCGGCTCGGTTCAAACTATCGCGTGCGCGCGGGCGGGCAAACGGGCGGCTCTGGTAAAGTGCATCAATCCTTTGGACGAAGCGCGGCGCGCGCGGGAACGGGGCAAAGCCCTCCAAAAATACGCCCCGCATTTCGCAGCGAACCACTACTCCCACGTTTCATCCCAGCCAGAGCAGCAGCGGTAGTAGCGGCACACGTACGTGCTCTACAAACGCACACGGGCGAAGAGAGAAGCGTCGTTGCCCTGCTGCAGTGCATTAGAAAGCTCGCGCACGATCGGGCTCGTCGAATTACGCTTAGGCAAGCGAGCGGGGCTCGACTCGGCTGTTGCTATATAAGACCTCTCCCGCTCGCGCACTCGTACGCGCGATCGCATGTAGCGTGCGAGAGAGCTGGCGGCGCGAAGCTCGAAAATGAGGGCTTCGGCCGGGAGGGCTGCAGCGGCGGCGGCGGCGGCGGCGGCGGCGGTGGCGCACGGAAAGGTTGGCTAGAGTGTGAACGAGGGAGCCGGGCTAGAGGGGCAAAGAGCGCCTGCAGTGACTAGCCTCCATCGATTTGCCATGCGACGCCATCTTGCTAGAGCGCCAGCACCACCCCACCCAAACCAACGCTCTTTCTCTCTCGCTCTCACTCTATGCATGCACACGCGTTGTCGGCGGCAGACATTTTGAAAAATGATCCCAGGAAGTCATCGAGCGAGCATTTTTCTCTCTCTCTCTCTCTCTCGCTCTCTCCGCGTACCACCCCCTCTCTCTCTCGCGGAGGACAATGCACCGGCGGCGCGCGCTTGACGAGACGTCGCATACGAGAGAGAGAGAGAGAGAGAGAGAGGGCAAAGTTATGAGGCAAACGCTCGCTTTGGAATGCGAAAAAATTAATTATAGCGGATTAATGCGAATTAGGCCGCCAACCACCCCGCGATTGTTTATGTTGAGCGCCGTAATTGAAGAATGCAAAATTGCACTGCTGCGCAACGTCGTGCATGCCCCTTTTTTTAATGATTATTTTTTATTGCACTGCGTCCCTGATCCTGTAATTTACTGATTTAATAAGAACGCAATGTATGGATTGTTGCTTTTGTTTGGTAACAAAACAAAAATTGGGTAATTTTAATTATGCGCGATAATTCGTCGGCTTTGCCCCGGTCTAATTTATTAACAAAAACCTATACATCGGCAATAAGTCTTAATAGCAGGCTTTGAGAATGTGCATAGATAGCGTTTTCTGCTCTCCCTCTCTCCGGTACTGTTCAACCGTCGCACCGTGAATTCAAGAGACCCATTATCAAAAAACTATGCCGAATAGAGACCCTCTCTCGATTTTTTCGCGCTTATAAACAAAACGCGTCTCTCCTTTTTTCGCTCTCTTCTCGCGTTATTAAATAAAACAGAACGACGCAGACGCATGCACGCGCCGAACGAGCGCCGAGTTTTTGTGCTCCCGCTCCCGCACAAAAATAGAAGGAAAATACAACGCGCATATATACACATACGCAGTCGATACGAAACGCATGAAGACTCATGTCGTGTGCGTGTGCGAAAGTATACAGGAGCGCGGGAGAAGGGGGTTCGCCGGAGAGAGTTCGTTTGGCCGAGCGCAATAAACAGGTATAATGGAATACGAGGTAACGGTGTGGGGATTGGAGAGAGCTTTGAGAGAGGTGTACAGCATGCACGCGCGTAGAGAAAGATTTCAATCGCCTCCACTACAATCGGTGCGACGCGCGGACAATGCGAGCATTCGCGGACTCGTCGCGCGGTCGATCGACTTTCGATTAACCCAAAAGATTTTTCTTGTTTTCAGCGCTCTCTCGCTTTAGCATACGCGCTTGCACACGCGCGAGCGACTGCGAGGAAAAAGGCAGAGAAGGGGGACCGCCACCAGCAGCAGCCGGATAAATGACGGCAACGTTAAACGCATCCGCCATTTTTTTAGAGAAGCCACCGATCCATTGTTGGCCCTCCTGTGAGAAATGCACTTACAATTCTGTCAATCGGCCTACCAATCGGATCTAAGTTAATAACCCCTTCCTCTTCCCTTGTTACCCGCGAGCTGTGGAACAAAGAAAGCGAGAGTGTCAGGTAAAAACTTTAATCACTTGCGAAAAGAAAAGAGAGCTGGCTTGTTGTGTTAAACGTGACTTTTTTTTGTGAGTGAGCGCGTCTGTGATGCATGAGCGCCTGGCGCGCGCTTTTTTCTGTTGGTAGAAAGAGAGCGAGAGAGAGAGTGAGAGAGAGAGAGCTGGATAGACATTGATGGCAACTTTTTTCGACGTGTGTACGTGGCGGGCATTTTTTTCGGAGTCATTAGGCCACCAACTAACGCTACTACTGCTGCTGCATGCATGGGAAGGAGAACGTTCGCACCCTGCAATGACAGAGACAGAATGCACCCTGCACTTTTTTTCCTGCTCACCGTGATTACGTTTTTGTTATTTCGTTTCAGATTTTTTCAATTCATTCCTTGTTCAAGTAAAAATGCGTATAAGACTTATTGGGTTGTTGACTCTGAACGGTATTCTATTTGCAAATAAGATAGAAATTCAAGGAAAAAAATGCGTAATATTAACAAAGCTCCTTTCAATTCAATCTTGAGCGTTGTTTACATTGTATTTGCGCTCGCGTAGCCGCAGGCTTATCAAAACTCAGAAAAAGAGAATAAAATGCGCGTAAGTAGCGGCAAGCTATGAAGATCGACTTGAATGTAAAGAAATATTTCCGATCGTAATCTGCGAGAGCTTCAAAAATATCTGTCTGATAAACTTAGTATAAGCGGCGCACCGAGCGATTTTGATATACATAGAGTGTCGATCAGACGATTTCCACGTGCATTCACAACGAAGAGAAAAAAAAAATTAAATAAAAAGAAAGGTCGAACTAGTATATAGCGAGTGAACAGCATGACTGAGATATCCACACCTCGCTAAAAAATTGGAGGCGCTCGATCAGAGCCCTTTTCATAGCACGTTCTCGCTCTCTTTCTCTCTTTCTCGCTTTGGCAGTGGCAAAGCCATTCGTTATTGCATCCGTGTGAACGACGGATTATATGAAGATTGCTGTAAGTGCGACAGAGGGACAGATACGTGTTTCGCAATAA